ATCTAGTCTGCGGAATACAAGCGCTCCTATCTAGCCAGTGCGGAAGATTATTGAAAATAGTTATTAAAGGTTTTGTTTGCTAATTTATATGACTTATATACTTTTTTACAATAGTTCAAGTGTACGTTCATGCAAATTTCGACTTTTTAACAGAGAGGAGCCGCTAGTTTTGGTTTATCAGGCACGTAGTCGGGGGTTGATCGTGGGGTTCTCACGAACCGCCATTTTTGTCGGGAAAAATTGCACTTTTGGGTAATATTTGTCTCCTTTTTCATAAAAAAGAATCCCCCCCTTGGAAATAGATGGCTACGGGGCCGTATATTGTTATTATTATATTGGAATGAGCGCCAGCATTCCGGGACATTACCGGAACGCGAAGAGAGAAGCGCGTTACTGGATACATTAGCACATACGTAACAATCTAGCCGTCGTATCCCAACTGCACCGGAAACTCTCTATTATCCCTGGCTCAGAATAAATGTGAAAAACACTGCAATTGACGTCAACATTGAGATATTTTTTATTGTATATTGGAAAATATGACATTGATGGGTGATAAGTGCTGACTGGAACAATTGCTTCTTTCATGTGTGCTGTTGTTGGTTTGATAATTTTATTGTTTTCTTGGATGATTAGTTTCACCAAAGAGAAACCCAGCTTGGTATTGTAGTGCAGAGTGCTGTGTGTGTGTGTGTATATATATATATATTTTTTTTTTGCTAGGAGTGTCTAGAAAAATTGAAAAACACCAAACAAGCATAGTTCCATGGCTTTTAATATTGTTTATTTTCAAACGAAAACCCTCAAAGTTTTTTTGAACCTGCATGATTTGGTAAAACAGTATGTCCTTAATTCATCTCTTTTTGGTAACTGCAATAAGCTTAATAACACATAACAAAAATTAAAGCATTGGTTTTCTTTCTTACCCTTTATCATTTCTGGTTGTGTCTTATTATTACTTAACCAGTTCTGCCAAGATGTCGCAGGGGCAAACATTCTTCTGAGACAGTTTGTTTGTGGTATTGGAGCTACACATATATTATGTATTTTAATTCTTTTAATTTACCATAAAATTGGAACAACTATTGTAGTCTTTTTTCAAACTTTCATGAAATATAGTAATTGAAAAAAATATAAAAAATAGTTTATGGCTGTAATCATAGTAGTTTCCTGAATTTTGGCTATAATGTGGTCTGAATTTCTGAGAAAAATTTATATTTATATATTTATTAATTTGTTTTATATAAGAAGAATTTGTTCCAAGTCTCTATTGAAAATGATACATTTTAAACACTCCCTGAAGATCAATTTTGTCCATTTAATGATTGCTTAAAAGCACTTAATTTGATTATCACTGATCATATACTAGTATATTTCTACTGAACAGTTTAGATTAAAACAGCTTGGCAGATGAATGATTTTGACAGAAAAAAAGATTGCCTTTGTGATTTAAATTTTACTAAAAAAAAATATAATATAACAAAATTGTTTTAAGTTAGCAGTTATCAGTCCAAGAGAAAAAAATCATTTATTAGTTTGTGTTTATGCATGTATGTGTGAGTGCATGTTATGTATGTGTGAGTGCATGTTATGTATGTGTGAGTGCATGTTTGATTGTGCCAGATTGAAGAGTATAGTATATTTAAAAAATACAAAAATTAAATAAATACATCTCAAAATGAATATTACAAGTATATATAAGTATAACTTGCACAATAGTCCAGTACAAAATTGATAAAATTACTGAGTAGAAATGGCAAAGATGCCGTGATAGACTTGCACTAAATAACCCGTCTTATCAGGCAGTTGAAAACAGAGCCTTCCTTCAGCTGTGAGTCGGAAATAACTGTGTAATTTCATCCTGTTATTTTAGTAAATTAACTGAGACATTCTTATTGTGATATGCAGCCACTTTTTACCTTGTCATCTTAAGATGATTATCAAAATAATTGTGTACTTAATAGTTTTTCTTTTTCTATTTTTTTAGGTACAGAATGTCAGGTATGTATCAAGGATCATCTCAAGACTTTTTTTAATGCTTTTTTTTTAAATCATAGATAATTAGATCACATTAAGAATGGAATTTTTATAATTTATTTATATAATTAAGCTGTGTTTCAGAAGTTTTAAAAAAAGGTATTTTTGTTATATAACAGATTAATTAAGACAGGTAAATGAAAAAATGCAAATAATTATAGATGTAAAAACTTGTCAGTGTACACGTAAATAGGTTGAATTATCAAGAGAAACTAGAAAAAATCATTAAGCACTAAGGTATCAGCTCTTTAGAGTGGCTATAGCATTTTATGGCAAAAGTAAAATTAAACACCAGTAATGCTTTTTCTCCGTGGTTTCTGTCAAGGAAATTTATATTGAGTCTACTTAACGTTTCATGATAAACATCAATAGTGGTAAGCAAATTTGGTTATGGTTTGGGGAAAAAAAGTGGTTGGATCCAGACGGTGTTATTTTCACAGTTCTGTACCTTATGACCCTGAGATGATAGGGGAGATAATTTTGATAAAGCAGGAGAAAAAAAAAAAAAAAAAAGAAAATGTGTGCAGAAGCTGGGGAGCTTGTGCAGTTCAAATAAAAGGAGCTAAAGCAACTCATTGTGGGAAAAGAAAAAAGTGCACAAAATAATTGGTAAAAAAAGGAAAGACCTTTAAGCACAATCATTTTAATTCTAGGTGATGCAGAGTGCAATATTGGGCCTTTATAGAATATGAATGTCAATGTAGCCAGCTAATAATTCATTGATTACAAAATGCCTGAATATTGGAGGAAGTGTATTCCTCTTAATTCAAAGTGATGTATAAAAAAGGATCTTTGAAATTGTCCTTTTCTTCTAAGCAAATTGAATCTATGTTTTTTTTTTTTTTTTTTTTCAAAAATAACTGCATGATGTTTCATTTTCTCTCCAGTATTAAGAACGTCAAAATGACAAGGATTTTATCTTTGGCAAGTGCTGTTCATTATGTCAAAATGGCGTTATCTTCTAAATTTTTTTCAATAATTTCATAAATTGGTTATCCTTAGATCATTGAATCCCTGGGGTTAGTCCTGTTCAGTGCTTTGGACTACGGTTTGCCAGAAAATGAAGAACAACGCTTGAGCCCTCTCTTGGAAAGTGCCATTGCTCGCATGACAGGAAATGATGCCGATAAAAGCTCCAGTGATGCTGGCCATGATGATGGTTGCCATAGCGATGAGGGTATTGCAGAAGATGAAGATGAGGATGGAGGTCAAGGTCAAAGTGTTACATTTCAAGATGTCATACAGGTAGAGTATAGCATTATGGTTTGCCAAGCAAGATTGATTGTTATCCTTAAAGGTTTACTTGTTATGTAACTGAGACACTTGGTACTGAATTTTTTGCTCAAGTTACACAAAACTTCAAATTAAAGCATGTTCATGTTAGTTTCAGCCAGTTGAAAAATGTTTCATTGGATCTGTAAATATAGTTAGAAATATTCATGATGTTTAGACACTCTTTTTGAACTCATGTTGGCAGTTTCATCTACATCTTATCAAAACAAGCTTAAGGTTTCAAAAAGTTGAGACCTAAACGTGTATTTTTTCAGTCGATGTTTCAGCCAAAACAAAAGAAAAAATCTGTTACCCAAGATTTGCTCTAGGTGATTGATGATTCAAGTCGTAAGGTAACAGGTTTTGTCGAGTCTACTTTAAGTTGAAATCTTTTTTCTTTTAGGACTGCATCAATCACTTGCACAGTCCGGGAGAGGCTGCCAGTCATTACAAGGCAGTGTGCAGAGCTCTGCTGGCGGAGGCTCAAGAATTACTTACCTTTCTCGTCAATATATCTTTATGTAGAGAGGTAAGTTAAGTGTTCAGACCGATGTGTTTAAAGGGTCAAAATTCAAAGCAATACTGAGAGCTCTTTTGGTGGGGGCTCAGGAATTACTTCTACCTTTCTCTGCAATATATGTAGGGAAGTAAGTCACTTGCTAGAGCTTTGAGTTTAGATGGTAAAGTATTAATTGGTTTGTAGAGCTTTGGTGAAAGAGACTCTAAAGAATTATAAAATATAATGGTTTTTTATGTCATATTTTCATTCATTTGTGGGAAATGATTTATTTTTCCCAATTTGGAATATCACTTGAAAATGTACAAATCTTATCAATACAACCTATTCTGTCCATGTATTTTGTAGAAAGTTTGGGTATTTTGAATATTTGCACATTTTATTTAAAAAGCAAATTAATGTAAATTGAAATTTTCTGTAATAGTTGTAGATTCAGTTACTTTGTCATTGCATCAGTTCAAAATGCAGCTTAACACCTTTCAATTCAAAACATGCTTCTCACTTTTAGATGTCATATTTAGAAACAATTTGTTGTGTTGCACATCAGTTGCTGTTTTATTTACTTTTATTTAATTTGCAGAAATTAAAAGCTGAAGATGGAGAAGAAGACTTGGAAGATCTCCAGAGGGCTGACTGGGTAGGTTTTCATCATCACTAAACAAGAATGGGCATTTCATTAGTTCTTCTTTAGTGTTTTATCAGGTCGATAAAGATTTTAAAAAAATTCTTTTAGCAGAAGATTTTAGTATAAACTCAAAAGTCATCCAGCATGATTAAATGACTAGTGGTAAAATTTCACAGTACACTACTGTGTGGTATTATAACAGGCCCTTAGAGTTAAAGATGAAATTTTAAAAAGATTATTGATTAACAAATTGATAAATTGGGGCTGTAGCGATAGTCCGAAGGTTCAATAGTCCGAAGGTTCATTGGTCCGAATGTTCACTATAGAACCTTCGGACCAATGAACCCTTGATTAAAAAATCTATGAAAATGTTACCACTTTTTGGACCAATGAACCTTCGGACTATCGAGACGCCCCCGATAAATTGCTTCTCTTAGATTTTTGCATTTCTGCAATTTAAATACACTTACAGCAGTCATTGATGTATAATGTATTTATTAACATACAGTTAATAATCCATAGAATCTTAAGAATCTGTATAACTTGGGACTCTTTAGGGCTAGAAATTTTTTCAAGTTATGCATTTAAGTCGGGCAATGTTCACAAGTTTCAGCTATTGTCAAAGAAAATATGTTTGAAAAAAAAAGTTCAAGGTGAATGTTATTCCACAAAAAGTGATTTCTGTAGACAGTTAGTGGCATTTTGTATAATATTTGCATAAATCTGACTTGTAATAATATTTTTTCTTTGTTATTCTCTAGTATCTTCCAATACTGAAAAAGTCATCATTAATTAAAAAGTGATGCAAATATTAAACAAAATGTGTGTCACTGACGCAACCCAAAGAATTACTTTTTGTGGAATGCTGTACAAATGACAATTCATTTAAAAATTATTAGTTGTCAAGTCTGCTGTATTTTATTGTATTCTACTTTATATTTTATATTTTTATATATTTTATATTTTACTTTGTATTTCATTGTTGACAGGCTAGACTGTGGATGCAAGTAATGAAGACGCTGAGAAAGGGAGTCAAGTTAAAAGAAGTGGAACATGTCAACAAGCCGCCAGTGGAGTATGAACTGACACCGTACGAAATATTGATGGAGGACATACGATCTCGGAGATATACGCTTAACAAAGTCGCTGTAAGCATATACACTTTTTAAACACAAACACACAACGCAGGCTTTTAAAAGTTTATTGGTTGATTACTCAATTACATTACACTGAAGTAAAACCAAAAGCAATTGTTTAAAGCTCAGAGCCGCATAGCTTTCTTATGGTTACTCAATGCAAAAAGACAAAATCACATTGGTTTTATAATAATATTAAATAAGCACTTTACATAGACTGTAAATAAGAATCACTCTACATAGCCTTTACGGATTTTCGGCTAGATTTTTAATTGTGGGGGGGAAGGGAGTAATTTTAGGGCACTGTAAAGAAATAATTGGTTGCTGTATGAGAAATGTTTTCTTAATTTAGAAAGGTGCCTTTAACCACTATGATAATTATTAAATTGATTTGGAATGAAACGTTATTTTTACAGGCAAATGGGGCCCTCCCTCCCAAACTAAAGCAAAATGCCCATGAAATAATCCTGGATTTTATCAGATCAAGACCTCCACTGCACCCGGTAAGCACAGTCAGTAAAAAAAAATATATATATATAACAAAAAATAAATAAATAAATAAATATAATAATAAAAAATAAAGATAAAAGCTGGAAACAGCTTATTGAAATAAATTATAGTGCTTGAATGTACAAAAGCATACCTAATATTTGTGAAGAGATTATTTGCTCATTTATTTTATGAGAAATGACTTCATGCTATGTCATCGATTTTGGATCGAAATGTGTAGACTTACTTTAAATGAAAACATTGCTATTTAGTTAAAACAAAAATCATAATTTAATGAATTTGAATAATTATTTCATTTCCAGGTTACAAACAGAAAGCTTGCCAATCCACGCCCTAGGACTCCAGACTTGCATGAACAGCTGATTAGCGAAATTAAAAACCCACCAAAACTCCGATCTACGCCATATGAGGAAGAAGGTAAGATTTGATTGTTTCTGATGATGGGTAGTAGGTTTGAGTGGCTGGTAATTTTCAGGCTGCAAAGATAACAAAAAATCATGTTGTACAGAGAATTACTTTTTATTCTAAATACTATTTGAGCAAATACAAAAATGTTGATTAATCAAAACATGCTATCACTTTAAAATTTGTATTTTTGGCAAAAGAAGTATTTCCTTGATGAAGAAAATTTTGTCTTCACAAGTATCATGTTACAGCTGTGTGATTTTTTTTTCGAAAATATGAAATTTGGCAGGCCTGAAATGCAGCCACTTTTTTCTCCAGATCACACCGTGTTTTATTAGTTGTTTTTGGTGGTGGTGGTGGATTTAGTGGTTACTCTGTGAGTTTTGTCACTTATGGTGTCACAAGTAACACATTTGCAACTAACACAATAATAACATGCGGGTGCCTCATCAATTGCTTAACTTGCAGACAAATATAATGCTTATTTCTCAAATTACATACTGACAATTAAATGATGTGTCAAAAAAAAATCTTGCATGTAGATTTCAGAGAATCAAGATTCCTTAAATTGATGGAATTCCTATAAGTTCCTGTCATTTTATTGTCAGTGTCAATATTCTATTTTACAAAAAGTGTATAAGCTATTATATTATAACAAGAACAGTTATACTCTGCTTTACGTGTGGGATTTATGTGTGCTTTTTAACAAATGAATTTATGTATCAATATGAATCACTTGTCAATGACAATTACTTACCCAAACTTTGGATTTGATTATTTCTAGATGTATGCATTGAATGCAAAGTGCATTTAAAATTTAAATGATTTTAATACACAGTGCTTAAAATTATTATCATCATCCCAGGCATTTCACTAGTGTGCCTCAAAAAAAATAAAAAAAAATAAAAATAAATAATAATAATAATAATAATAATAATAAGAAGAAGAAGAAGAAGAAGAAGAAGAAGAAGAAGAAAATAAATAAATTTAAAATAAATAAATAAATGAAATAAAATAATAAAGATTGTATGCTTCAAGTGGTGCAAACAAATAAAAAGTAAACACTGAATCTGGTGAAACTAATGGAATAACAATGCCTCATGACAGAAAACTATATTAAGATGCTGAAGACATAAGTAGAACATTATGGGTACAACGTTGCACAAAAATGATCAGTTGAGTAAATGGTTCTGAGAAAGAGTAATAATTTGAGACATGATCCATCTTTTTCGTACACAAATGCTCAGTACCAGCTCTCTCACTGACAAGTAACGATTTTTTGCATAATTCTCAGTAATGTGCAGAGCTTATTGAGGGAACATCCATCAGAAGCATGTGTACTTTTCTTGACAGTGCCTTATGATGTATGACAGTGATTGCTGATAACTTTCAATTGCCAACTGATATTATTGCTTGATGCTTTTTTTGTCACCACATGCACACTGCTGAATATTGATACAAGCCATTAAAAAAAAAAAAAAAAAAAAAAAAAAAAAACAAAACAAGGAAATGACAAGAAAACAACACATCTTGACTTTTACTATGTAATGTAAGTTGTCTGGACAGCTATTTTGTCAAACTGATTACTTGCTTAAAGACAAACAGTGAGGTTACGGCACAGCATATGATGAATCCTCCTGGCAATATCAACAGTTTTTCCCTTAATTACCAGAGTATAGTTACCACATCCAAAACCTGTTTTCAGGTTTTATGTTTCCAATTTTTGCGTCATTTGAGTAATAGAGATGGTGAAATATTTTCGTGATGGTAGGATTAGAATTTTGTAATTCCCACTGTAAGTCTTTAATATATGGAAATTGCCAGTAATGCGTAATCATAGAAACTTGATGATGAATGATAGGATATTTTAATGGTGGATGTTTCTTTCTTGGCTGTGTCAGCCAGACTTAAGGGGTTTAGTGGGGTTTTCTCACTTGCATAGATCATTTCCGTTGTTGGTACTAGCTTCTTACAATTAGTGGTACATAGATGATAACTTTTCCTTCTCTCTCTCTCTCTCTCTCTCTCTCTCTCTCTCTCTCTCTCAAATGCTTATTTATTTTGATAGTAAGCAGGATTTGCCTCATTTTGATCAAGATGATTTTCAGTGTAACAAAATTGGAAAAGTGCGAGAAGGGAAATAGATCACTAAATGCTCTTTAAGACATCGCAAGCTGCAGTGTTGAAGTACTAATTAGTGTGATTTAACAATAATGCTTTGTGTGCTTTATTGGGCCGATTAATTTTGATCCAAGTTGTGCTGACTTGGTTCATTTTAAACTGACCCATTTTATTCTTTCTTTCTGATAATGGCTTCATAATCCATGATAGATGTATCACTTGTGATTTTGACATCTCAGGGGCGGATTTAGGCCGTCTTCTGGGTCTTCTGGAAGACGGTCAGATTTTAAAGTTTACATTGACGGGTATGTAATATTTTCTGTCGGAAGACGGTCAAAAATTGAGGACGAATTAACAAAGATAAATTGGAAGACTGTCAGAAAATATCTCTGGATCCGCCCCTGCATCTCACTGCTTCCTTGCATCACATGGTAGTGTAGTAGCACTCACCGCACATTATAGATGTTAGATTTAATGATAGAAAAAAAAAAAAAAAAAAAAAAAAAACGATGGAGATGGTTGAAGTAGTTGTGGTGGTGGTAGTGGATGTATCCATTGATCATCGTTGCTTGCATTATGTGTGATATAGTTGTTTTTATTGTGATAGATTTGTGTAGCTATGTTGCCATCATAATGGTGATGGTTGTTGTGTTAAGTGTGATAGTTCCTATCGTGTTGAGCACTAGTAATGTTACTGTTATTGTTAGTGTTACTTATCAACAGTCAAATTACATGAATGCATTTTAATCATTTGTATTTTAAGATGATATGTTCATTTTGATAAATTTTTAAGCAATTTAATATTAGATGATGTTTGAGCACTGCTAGCAATGTTTTGCAGTTGCTTTGTTGTTGTTGTTTTTAAAACTACCTTTTAATGTTGGATTGATTTTGATTTGATTTCCTTATGTGGTCACATTTTCATTGTTGCTGTGGCTTGCCTGCATTGTACTAAGTGTGACTTCTCTGCATTGCATTGCCTCTGCTGTGTGAACAGATTTGAATCGATGAAATTTTTTTTTTAAATTGCTTTTTATCATTGCTGTAAAAACTCAGGGGCTTTAATAATTGAGTAGTCTATACCTTGGAAGATTTAGAAACTAGGCTGCTAGAACATATGTGTTGGAGAACATAAGTTCCACTTCTCTGAGAAATAAGCTCATGTCCAATTTGACAGTCTCTGGTTGACAATGTATCACTTGAAAACAGAATTCTTTTAGTCAGAGGTAGGAACTAAGGATTATTTGTAGAGGGTCAAATTTTTTTTTTGTAATTGATGTATTGATGAGGGATAAGGTGTCCCAAAGATGTGCAGCGATTGATGCAGGCAGGCCACATATGCAGTGATTTGAGCAGACATCTTATGTTCAGATATTTTCATGAAGCAGAACCATTACTGTTCACATTGAATGGGCAGGTCATTTTGAAAAAAAAAAAAAAGATACAAAAAAAATTGAAAACCATATTAAAGTTGCTTTTAACCAATCCATAGTTGAAGATGAGGAAAAACCAGCCAAACCAGTACCTTTTGTGCCAAAGACGCCACGAATGAGGACCAAGCTGAATCATTGGCGCAGTGAGGAGACCATTAACAAATCCATGCAAGATGTCCGTGTGTGGTCAGGGTCACAGACCAGCCTCGCAGCAAATAGTCCTGCCTTTGTCAATTATAGCCCTGATCCAAATACAATCGACTATCACTTTAAGCTGCTTGTGATTGGTGGAAGTAATGTAGGAAAGTCGTCTTTTATACTGAGATATTCTGATAACAAGTACAGTCCTGCCTTTGTGGCGACAATTGGGATCGATTTCCGTATAAAAAATATCAAACATAGAGGGCGTACTGTGCAGCTACAGATTTGGGATACTGCAGGACAGGAGAGATATCGCACCATCACCACTGCTTGCTTTCGAGGGACAATGGGGTTTGTACTGATGTATGATATCACCTCAGAGCAGAGTTTCAATATGGTGGAGGACTGGTTGACCCAGATAAGAGAAAATGCAGATGAGAAAGCCCCTGTTATTATCGTAGGACACAAATGTGATCTGGAAGACAAGCGTGAAGTGTCGTATGAATTGGCACAAAAATTAGCAGATGATTTGGAGGTTGATTTTTATGAGGCCTCCGCCAAGGAAGACTACCATGTAAGCCTTGTATTTGACAAACTTGTGGACAAAATAACTAGAGTCTATAAGCCAAAAGCTCGAAATTTTAGCAAAAATACTGTGCGTCTGCCAAGAAGGGCAGTTTCCATCAGAAGATTTGAAAAGAAATGGACATCAGATGTTGATAAGTGTAAATGCTAAGAATGTGTTAGATGTCACAGACTGTTGAGGTTGTGATAAGTTGTTGTGTTCTGAAGAATCTGCCAGGGGCATGTACCACAATTTTTAAGTGAACGTTAGCCAAAATTGGTCCAAACTTTTATACCAAAATTTCAGACAACTTTGACCCAATATGAGTCGTTGGTAGAACAGTTAGACATACGATCCACTTTTTTTAACAAGAAGGATTTAATTTATGTTTCAGGTGGATACTGCTTTATTTCATTTTATTTTAGTGGACTATCAAGGACTTGTCTTTAACTGAATTAGGTCATATTTTTAATCCAAAAGTTTAGGCCATTTCCAGCTAAAGCTCTTTTGAAAAGGTCCCCCAGGTGTTACTGAGTGTAAAAGTTGAGATTTTTGACTGTGTTCGTAGAACATTGGTTGAGCTTTGCCATTATGGCCCAAAATGTGTTAGGAGTGACAGACTTAAAGTAGAGATTTTCCATTGTGTTCTTACTATGCATTACAGATGAAAGGGTTTGCCAGAAAACATCAAAGTCCCAAGATGCTGCTGACTTTGAATATGAATCTTGCATATGCTTTCAGCTGATTTTTGT